GAGGTCACTATTGCTAAAACAATAGAAATCTTCCATTTTGGTTAGGGAAACTGACTTTATAAAAAAAATTGCCAGCATGTCAGGGGGATTGCGCAAGTCTCACCTGCAGTATTTTTAATTTTCACAAAATTCTGTATACACCCTATAATGAGGCTCGGGATGCAACTGACCAATTTTGGCTGTCATTGGATGAAGACTGTGAGAGAAGTAGCGTTTGTAATTTTCAATAAAATTATCCCTAGTGACCACTAGGTGACCTTTGACCCGGATATGACCAAACCCTGCCAAATGAAGCTCGGGTCATTTGTCAATATGGCCAAGTTTGAGTTGACATCAGACCAAGAATTTGAGATCATTGTAAAGAAGAAAAACGGCTAAAATACAGTACCTTAGTTTTTCCAACGACTAAGGTAAATCCCACACAACTTCCAGCGGTGGGAGTCCTCAGGAGACCCACTGCTGACCAAGATCCTGGTTCTTCAGGGCATTATGACGACGGGTCCTTAAACCCCCCAGGAAGGGATCAGTCCGACAACAGAGTCAAGGCCACTGCGCCCTTCTTAAAGGCAAAAAAAAAGTTGGCGATACTATCGACTTTCAATGCCTTCACCATATCAGGGAGGAGTTGAGGTGTGAGGAACTGGCAGGACGAAGTTGGAACTGCGGAATTGACATTCTGGGGATCCAGGAATATCACCATGTCCATGAAAATGAAGAGGTCAGGTTCGGAGAGGTGATGAGCTTCATCACATCATGTGCCTGGAGACAGCCAACCACAATATCTGCTCAACTTTCTGTCCGCTACACCTAGCACACTAATGAGTCCAACCGAAATGGTCAAAACCTAGTCAACCTTCTACAAGGACAGGACCTCTAGCAAACACACAGTTCGAGAAGCGATAAGGAAAGCTCTTGACGTTCCAAGACAGGGCTACTAGAATCCAAGCACCAGATCGACTTTATCCTCATCAGGCATAAATGGCGCAGCAGTGTTCTCAATGCTGAGGCGTACAGCAGCTTCAACACTGTCATATCAGACCATCAGGTGGTATCTGTGTGAGTGAGGCTTAGCTTGAGACAACCAAAGTCAACTGGCCCTAAAGAGAAGATTGACTGGAAGTACTTTTCTTCCGACATGAGCTGCAGGACCAGTACATAGTGGAGGTGGTCAACCACTTCCAAGCACTGGGAAAGGAGGAGGGAGGAGTGTGAAGAGGAGGAGGACATGGGAAACAAGGAGAGTGAGCATAAAACCGCATTACCAGCACTTCATGACTAACTCTGAGGCAACGACGAGTCAACCCAAGGAGAAACATGTGAAAAAAAGCTGCCACTCCTACCACCCTGATGTTGTCACAGCACGGAAGGAAGTTGAAGAAAGCCATGAGAAGTACATCCGGGGCAAGTCTGACAAGCTCAAGGACAACTTCAAGGCAGCCGAAGCTCAGCTTTTCGACTGAGGTGTATGACAGGCTGAGGGAGGAGCTTGAGTGCAAGATCAGTGAGGTGGTGGCAGCAAGTGACGGAAAACGATATGGAGAGGCATGGAGGATTGTGATAGAGATCAGTGGTAGGAGGAAATCCAAGGCAAGCCAAGTCAGCTGTCCTTCACCCGAGAAACGTGTAAAGACTTGGTTCACCCACTTCAAGAACCTGCTAGGTGACCTCCCCCCCAACGATCGCTGATAAGGACAAAGACATACAGACTGTCCTCATGAATACATGTATTGATATCGATGATGGACCCTTCAAAATGGAGGAGCTTTAGGAAGGTGAAGACGTCTCTCAAGTAAGGGAAGAGTGCATGTCCGGACAGCATCCCTCCAGAGGTGCTAAAAAAAGAGTGAGCTCAATGACATCGTACCGAAGTTTTTAAACATGGCATTACTGATGAATGACAAACCTACCCAAATGGCTCTAATCCAACATCATCCCCTTCCCAAAATCCGTTAACCTGATGAAGACCGACAATAAAAGTGGGATCTGCATCACGTGTCCTAGCCAAGATCTACAACCACCTGATTCTCAACCGTATCAGAGGACGGCCATACACCCCAAGCTGAGATTCAACAAGAATGGCTTCAGAGAAGAGTACAGTAGTCACACAAATCCTGGCCCTCCAAGCATCATTGAGGTCAAGAAGAACAATCTGCCAGCTGTACTGACTTACATTGACTTCAAGAAAGCCTTTGACTCATCCATCAAAGCAAAATGATCAAGATCTTGAAGGCATGTGGAGTCCTCCCTCGACCTCTCAAAGCCATTGAGGCTATACATGTACCTACACTGTCACCACCGCCAAAGTTGTCATCCCCGATGGAGACCATTCTTCTCTACAGTAGCGAGACGTGGACCCTCACAGCAGGCCAGACCAATTGATGGGTGCTACACCCGGATGCTCAGGATGGCACACAACATCAGCTGGAAGGCCCATATGACGAACACCGAGCTCTACGGCAACTTGCCAAAGGTCTCAGAGAAGGTCAAGTCAAAATATCTGAGTCTCGCTCAGTGGCCTAACTGTCCGTCCCCCCCCCCTTTGGAAATCTTATAATGAACAAAAAAATCTACACTGCACTGTCAAAATAAGCCCTTTGACTGGTGTTCATATCTAAAGGTAAGTAATGTATCAACCTGTATTAGTACGCATACGTCATGTATACATTTTTGTCATGCCAAAACTGTTGGGCAAACTACGTCCGCAATAATTATGAATGGTTGTATATAAAGTCGAGTGCATTCACTTTGAATTTCATGAACACATGAAGCTCGCTGTTAGTGAAAGTTTTTTCGTTCTACAAGTCACTCCTGGACTTTTTTTCAAATCCGATCGACTTCAAACCTTGCACCCACTTAGAACACCTTCTGAAAATTCAGGCTGAATCATGACATCATCATGACGTCATCACGTGTCGCGTGACGTCATCCTAAAGTGCATATTTTATCTTCACAAACGGAAGTCCGATTTGGTTCAAAATCGGTATGGAAGTATTCCGAGACGTTATATAGACAAAAATTGCAGTGACATCACGAAAAAGTCATCGTGTGATTTTATATGAATTATTCAATTTTGGATCTCATCAACGGAATGTGGTAAATTCAAAATACTTTTTGTAAAAGGTTTGTTAGTTCATAGATAGATGCACATAATTTCATTAAATGTGTGACGTCATCATGACTTCATCAAAAACATATTTTTTTATATTCACATATAAGGGTATGTTTGATCGTTAAAAAGTTTGGTGGGTAGGTAGGTATTGATAAAAGCATTCAAAATCTGAAGTGACGTCACGATGACGTCATCATGTGATTTTATATGATTTGTTAAATTTTTGGACCTTTTCGTCATATCCCATCAACGGATGGTTGTAAAATAATTTAAATCTGAGGCCAGCGGTACCTAGTTATGCATGTGCTTTTTTGACACTGCAGCTAATGAATAATTTCAACAGCTGTTCGGATTGACCGTACAAAAATGTGCGTTTGCACCGGATACGTGTATAGGCCTACAGCTTGTGTCGCATCGTTGCGAGAACACAATCATGAATGGCACGTGAAACAAGACTTGGAAAACCACGGGTTTTGCGATACAGTGAGAGGAACATACACAAAATAGCACAGATCATGATAGAACATAGGAAATGTAGTGTAGCCAGGCTGGTCTGGCAAAATAATTGATTGTCCTGGAAAGGATTTAATTTCATTATCCTTTGTTCTTACATAAATATATTCATAACTTAACTGGACAGTGTTTTATAAACTGTCTACCTGACCACTCTGCATTTGTAACAAACACGAATCTCTAGGTTTATATTGATTTTCAAAGATTAAATCTAGAAATCTTAAATCGCCTGTAATTTGACACCCGATGATGTCATCATGACGTCAGAGTAATATGCACTTGATATATGTTGAAAGTTATAAGTTCATACCATAAAATGATTAGGAAAAAACCCGCGGAGAAGTATTGTCGTGAAAAGAAAGAAAGATTTATCAGAATAATTCTAAATAGTGGACAACAACATAGATAATTCTATAAAATAAATAGCAATGTCAAGATCATAAAATACAATCATAGTCATACATTTTAGACACGGGGTTGAAGATTTACTACACCTCTGGGTATTTCTTATCCTGACAATGTAATTTATGTATGTTTTGTATTTTTAACTACATGAAATTGTTGAAATTGTAATCTTTCACTCAGATGTAATAAGTTATCTTATCTGCAAGGCTTCGTCTCGCCCGCTTAGCGGGAAAATGCCCACTTCAGTGGCGTATCCAGAGTGGGGGGGGGGGGGGGGGGGGGCGCAGAGGGGGCACTCGGCCCCCCTCTGGATTCTTTGTACAGCATTTATTTTAGTAAATGGTAAGAGAGTTCTGACATCAATCCAAAAAGAAAACCTGCTAAAAAGCCATCACAATGCGCCGTGAAAATGGTTACATAAGTTTGCAGTATGCATAATGATGGTCAGTTTTGAAGAGCGCCCCCATTTTGAAGGTGGTCGTGAAGGTGGTGGTCGTATGGCTACAATTTTGCTGGAAACAAATAAACATTTTGGAAACATTTTTCAAATTGACGATTACAATCAATAAAATAAAAAAATAGATCTATTTATGTGGACAAACAAAGGGCTGTTTCGGCAATTATTTTGGTATCATCTGGCATGTACAGTTACAAGTAGAAGTTCCATCCAGGTAGGGTGTATAGTTCTGTAGATATTGGGATTGTACAATTGCAAGTTGTGTCAAATAAAAATTAAAGAATTCAATAAACGACACGGTTGTTGTTTTTAGGGAATAACAGTGTGAGGAGCCAGTCTTCAATGCGGGATGACCAGGTTGGGGAATGGCCGCTGTTAATGGACAGAGCCTGTTACTCCTTTTAAAAGAAATAAACAGTTAAAATGCTCCAATTTTGTGACCTTTCTTTCTGCGATAATTCCAGACTTTTTGTGTTTATGCTGAGGGGCCATATTTTAGCTTTAATATGCATGCAATATGCTTCACCCTGTATATTCAATGCTTTATTAGTCATCTTCATTGCATTACAACAGATGTACAGGGTATAAACCTCTGCTGCCATATCAAAACAAATTACAAGAAGTTTTTTTCATAGGAACCTGGAATATTGTTTACATATATTCATTGTGTCCAGTATTACAAAGATGCTCGGTAAAGAAAAAAGTAAATTTTTCCGTGGGCGACGTGTTTACCAAAAAAAGAAGAAAAAAAAGAAGCAAATTCCAGATCCACGCTTTCATTATTAACATCCTCAGTACGAACATGTCGTGTTAAGACTTATTCCACAAGAGCATAGCAACTGTGTTTCACAGGCCCGCGTACCGGTAAGTCCTCACACAATGGTGGTTGAGTGCATGTGTACCATGTGTACTGCTGTATTGTTACAAGCTACCACAGGACTGTTGTTTATTTTGCCAATCATTGGCCTACATGATCCTGGAATGATCGATATCAATGCTGGTTTAGGGGCCATTTATTCAACAATATCTGTCAATTCTTTGCAAGCCTCGCGAATATTAATAAGTTTCCCATTTACTATGGTGTGCAGTAAAAATTTGCAGCATCGCCTCCTTCACGAGTTATTGCTGGCTTCCAATCGTCGATACCGAGACCCGTGCAAGTCACGCCGAGTTACGTTAATGATGTATGCTAATATGCACTTCGTCAGCATTGTTGCACCAAAATCGGCCAACCTGAAAACCATGTACATGTGCGTGAGTTTGGTCAGCCAAAAATCCTTGTCAAAATTTCTCTTGGAGGTAGTTCAAGATGTCACACAAGACTTTGCAACGATAGATTAAGCTGAATTTCAGAATATACTGAAATGATATCAATGTTCAGCTACTCCTGAAGTAACAACTTGAGGGGACTCCTAAAAATTGAGATAAATACATAGATTCGGGAACATTTTCGAATGATTTCTTCTCAACTTTAAGGTCAGTTTTACCAGTAACCAGTATCGACGTTACAGCAATCGATGACAGCAATTTTTTCACTGACATGAAGTTTAGAATTTCTTCTTCTGTTATAATTTTACATTTCAATCATACTGAGCATATTTTCTGAGAAACACAACATTCAAAAAGCCATTTTTTGGGGGTGCATGAATTTCACTGCTCTGTTATAGCGTCCAAGTACATATTGGGATTAACTTGTTTAACAACAGCGATGCTTAGGCCTTCACAACCACATGGCTGTGTAGCTGTATATATAGGCCTTTGAAAAATGGATCTTTAATGTGGTGTCACGTAACATGTGACGATGTCATCACACCCTACAGTGTTCATCTAAACACAACCAAAAAATAAGAAAGTTTACATTCATTGGAGGGACATAATTTTGAATCTGATCATTTAATAATAACGTCCTTTGTATAGACCTTTGGGGAATGTTGTTAAGCTACCAATCATCCAACACTAACAACAGTTTTTGAAAAATTATGCAGTTTGAAAAGTTTTCAAAATGCAGCATTTTTCATAAATTGTTGTCAATCTTGGATGATATACAGTCTTTAGTAGCAAATGGGATATCAAAACGTAGCTAACTAAATTTCCCAAAGGTCTATATGAATGACTTCATCATAAGACAATTAGATTCAAAATTACGAGCCCTCCAATGAGTGTGGATTTTCACTTTGTGGTATACCTGCATGGTCATACCAAGTTACAAGCAATTGGACACATACATGTATGTGATGTCATGTGACACATGATGAGGTTATGATGACATGAGAAGTTCATGTTCGGCCCAAATCTACAATAGTTGGTTGATGTCTCTGCCAAATCAGATTAATTAAAGTACCCAAATTGCCGGGCAGGGAAAAAAGGTGTTTAAATGCTGTTGACAGGAGTCTGGGGGGGGGGGGGGAGATCTTACCTGAAACTAACACTGTTTCGAAACAATTGTCTGGAAACAATGGCTGTTTTAGAAAGTAGGCCTACATGAAATCCGAAACATCCAAATAAATCACACCCCCAAAAAAGAAGCTTTTTTGCATCTTTGTGGGAGAGAAAAGTGGACGGGGACGAGAAACTTGCTGATTTTTTTTTTGACTGGCCTTGATAATTTGTAAGACATAACTCCTCTATATACATGCATTTATTGCAGCACAAAGACTGCATCTGCAAACTAAGGTCAGATACAGACTTTGTCATTCATCTCTGACACATCCTTGATCAAACTCTTAGTACTTGTACATCCATATGTGGATGATTAACAGTCTCCTTGCATCCATCTAAGACTTGTAAGGTTCAATGCTTGCCAAATTGGCTGATCATTTTCTCTTCATTGCTCGTTTGCCCTCTCCTTTTTTGGGCGGGGCCTTCCCTTTAAGACGAGCAACTCTCCTCATCTCAGCACGGAAATCAGCATGTTCATCCCTGTCAAAGACAAACACCAGGAAAAGCAATCAGGAAAAATATGCAAATAGTGTCTTAAGTTTGACGGTCACTGAAAATGGTAGAGCAGCACCTTTGCAAAGAATAACAATATACCTGTATTTAACCAGTTCAGGCTAGGATTATTTTGACATGACTGGACCAAGGCACAGGTAGCTGACACATATTTTCCAGCCTTAGTCATTGCGTGTTTATCCGTCATCTGTTCCGAATTCCACAAAACCTTTGTGTGTACAAAAACAAGTTGATGACATAATTCACATATGAGGCCTGTTACTCCTTTTCAGAACAATCACAAATGGAGTTCTTTGGGACATAGGCGTCGCGAGGGAGGGGGGGGCGCTTGTTTTGTGCACACACCAAAACAGCAATTTTTTTTGGTTTTTTTCCCTTCTTTTTTCCTTTTTCCCCCTTCTTTTCCCACATCGACTTCAAACCTGGCACACACTTAGACCACCCTATGTGGCCCGTTACCACGAAACCCGGACAAAGTAGCAAAAAACAACAATTGAGGTTTTGGTATTTTCAAATTCTCCACTTATTCAGATTTTCAATGATATGAAGTTTTTATTGTTTATTCTTCCCTATAATCCCATGAAAAGTGATTCTGACCCCAGCATTGCCCGTCCGATAAAAATGTTATTACGAGAAAACCAGCTTTGTGTGCACCGGAAGAAATCTCAACACGCACACAGTGAATGCAATGTACCGCATGATGAGTGCACTCTGCAAGGTCATTTCAAACATTCATTGCAACCACCAAGATCCTATTATTGGATTACCCATCGCGGTAGAATCGCGGTAGAATGGCATCAACGCAGCTTGTGAAATATTGTCCAATTACATAATGTACAAATGGACGCTTTTGCTAATTTATAACACTAAATTCACTTTTACACAGCCCAATATTTTAACACAGTCGAAACAGCTACGTGTTTGTCCACAAACACAATTCTAGTTATAGTTTGAAATTATTCAGATTAATCCATGATCAGCAGATCCATGATCAGCAGGAGGGATCATGCTGGCTATCTTCTCGTGGTGATCTCCGTTACGGCTCAAGCTCACAAGCTCACAAGTCTGCAAAGCTACAGCCAACCAAAGCCAGCAACACAACTCAACCTACGCGATATCGCTAAGGAATGTCAACCATCTCAACCGCCAATCAAGGTTAGATCCATCCAATCTCACCTTATTGGCCAACGAATCCGGGGCGTTCCCCTAAAACGAGACAATGTCTACTACCGAGATTCGTATACTCCAACTTAATGTCGAAGGACTCACCAGAGCCAAACGTGATCTCGTCCGACACCTGGCTGAAAAACATCAAGCCAACATCATACTCCTGCAGGAGACCCACATGCAGGATGAACAAAAGCTCAAAATTGAAGGCTTCAACACTATAGAGTTTATCCCCAGCAAACACCATGGGATTGCCTCATATGCACGCGATGGTATCACTGCCAAGTTGGACCAAAAGTCGACTGCAGACAGCCCAACTGAATGGATAACCATCGTTGCCAATAACCACCAAGTTGTAAACCTCTACAAGCCGCCCCCATCGACGGTCACCCAATGCAACCTGCCTCTGGTTACAGTCCCTGCCATCGTTTGTGGTGACTTCAACAGCCGCAATACAAACTGGGGTTTCCGTGACACCAACCTGAATGGTGATGTCATCGCCAACTGGGCTGAAAGGCTTGATCTCCACCTGCTTTACGCCTCAAAAGACCACCTCACCTTCTTCTCTGGTCGGCACAAGAAGTGGTCGAACCCAGACCTGAGCTTCGTCTCCTCCAATATCTCACAAAACTGCGAACGCATCATTCTTGACAAATTCCCAAGATCCGGACATTGCCCTATCGTTATCGGCACAAAGATCGAAATAAAGATCACCTCCCTCAACAAAAAGAGGTGGAACTTTAGAAGGCTGACTGGAACAAGCTCACATCCTTAACAGACGACCTCACCTTCGACCTCCCAAGCCCATCCGGGAACGCCTCCAAAGTATGCACCGCCTTCACCAATATGCTCTCATCTGCTGCAAAGTCATCCATTCCTCGCGGAAGACGTGGCCAGTATATTCCATGCTGGGATGCTGACTGTGACCGATTACTCAAGGAGTACAACGACGCGAGTGACACCGAGAAAGCAGACAAAGCTGATATACTTATGCATACCCTCGGTGAAAAAAGGCGTACCAGATGGGAAGAGATGGTAACCACCATTGATTTCACCCACTCCAGCCGGAAGGTGTGGACCACGATCAACCGACTCACTGGTCGAGGCAGTAAACCAAAGCCCTGTCCAGTTCCTGCAAACTCAATTGCATCTGTCCTTGTGGACAACGGAAGATGGAAAGACCGCTCAACTGATGCCAAAAACCACAACCGAAGAGTCAATGAGGAAATAAAAGAACTTATCTCCACCCAACGCGCCTCAAGCGACCTGTCAGGGCCAATCTCCAAAGAAGAACTCATGGAAGCCATTCTCTGTCTGAGGAATGGGAAAGCGCTGGGCATAGACCTGGTACACTCTGAGTTTCTGAGACATACAGGACCTCAGGCTGTCGAGTGGCTCCGCCTCTTCCTAACCAACTGTATGGATACACTGTCGATCCCAGCGGTCTGGATAAAAGCGAAAGTTATCGCCGTACTCAAGCCCAAAAAAACTGCTGACGAGGCGAAGAGCTACCACCCCATCTCTCTCTTGTGTATGACTTTCAAAGTAATGGAGAGGGTAATTCTCGCACGCATCAGTGACCTCATAGAACTGAGCCTACCACACGCGCAAGCTGGTTTCCGTAAGGGAAGATCTACCACGGACCAGATCTCACGCCTCGTCAATGATATCGAAGCCGCATTCCAGAGAAAAGAGAAGCTTGGGGCAGTCTTCGTAGACCTCACAGCCGCATATGACACCGTTTGGCATCGCGGCCTGTACCTGAAGCTGCTAAGAACTATACCAGATGTAAAGCTTGTGCAATTCATAATGACTCTGTTGCAGAATCGTACGTTCTTTGTTGAGACCTCCAGTGGCGACCAAAGCAGAAAGCGATGCCTACGGAATGGCCTTCCTCAGGGGTCAGTGCTCGCACCCATCTTATATAACATCTACACTGCCGACCTCCCGAACACCACCTTGGAACAGTATGTCTACGCCGATGACAGCGCCCTAGGTATTACTGGAAAAACCTTTGAGGAAATCCAGCAGCCACTCGAAGATGATCTCTCCACCCTGTGCAGCTACTACCATCACTGGCACCTGAAGCTGAGCGAGTCAAAAACCAGAGATGCCACAAATATATCAATAAAAAGCCTGAAACACTACTAAAAAAGCTGAAACTACCCTTACCCCCTTTTCAAAAATGTGTTTTCTGGATGTTTCAGACCAAATCCAGCACTTTTAATTTGTCACACTTTTTGAAAAAAAAACTGAATTCAGGTTTAAACCTGAAAAGTGGCATCTCTGAAAAACAGTATGCTCCATCTTCCACCTAGCAAACAGACTGGCTAAGAAGGAGCTTACCATCAACCTCAATGGCAGCAAACTTAAATTTGACCCCCAGCCGGTCTACCTTGGCATTACGCTCGACCGCAGCCTAAAGAGAAAGTAGCAGAGAAGACATCAAAGTGAGTGAACATCCTCAAAAAGCTTGTTGGCACCCACTGGGGCGCTAATTTTGCAACCCTCCACACATCTGCTCTTGCCCTGGCATACTCAACCGCAGAGTATGCAGCCCCCGTATGGTCGCAGAGCCGCCACACAAAAGCAATAGACACAGTGCTCAATGACATCCTACGACTTATCTCCGGTACCATGGCACCCACACCAGCAAGCTTACTGCCCATGGTCACAGGCATCCCACCCGCGAGCATAAGACGTGACCACCTGACTCTCAAGCTTTCTCAGAAAGCTAGCACGCCTTGTAGCCTAGTGCCCTACATCTCTGACAACTGCCCTCCATCAACCGCCAGCACTTCGTAACCCGTGCTTGTGAACTAAAGAACGGCCCCTCACTCTCCCCGTCCTGGGTAGCAGACCGATGGAGAGAGCAGTGGGAGATCATGACCACCAGCCTGCACGAGTTCATGCCTGTACCATCAACAAAGCCAGCAGGGCACAACCTCGAGCGCAAGCCCTGGGTTAGGCTCAACCGACTACGGACCGGGTGGGGAAAAACCAACTCGTTCCTCCACCTAGTCGGCACCAGAGCCGACGACACCTGCCCCTGTGGGTCCCCACAGACGACCACGCACATCCTACAAGAGTGTCCAATCTTCAGCCCTCCCAACGGACCTGCCAGCCTGATCGACCTTGACGACACCACACTGGAGTGGTTGAGAACTGACATTCCGGTGTGATACTGCACCTCCAGGAACGAGTTACACGAACGACGAGCAGATTTAGAGTACAAAGCTTGAATTATTCAAATCTTGCAAAAAATAAGACAAGTACAATTTTTAGATGATGAAACAATATGTTGACCATTCTCCACAATTTGCTGGGTTTAATGATGAGAGCATACAAAACAAGTTAGGTGTGTTTACAAACACAAATGCCCCGCAACCGTGACTGTTCCCATGACATAACACCACTCTTTTAACATCAACTTACATGTACCTTGGTCACATGGAACGTTCATTGACAGCATTAGTGTCTTCTGTAGGTTTTATATGAATTAATCCCTAATCCCTATGATCTCAGAATAAATACAAGATTTCTATTGTTTTAGCCACTGTGACCTTGACCCTTGACCTTTCGACCCCCAATGCGATAGGCCTATTTGGATTACCAAGAACGATCCACAAACCAAATTCGAAGTTCACATGTAAAGTATTTCTCAAGTAATCGCGCTGACAAAATTTCTTTTGTTTTAGCCACTGTGACCTTGACCCTTGACCTTTTGGCCCCAAATGCAATAGGCTTCTTAGGATTGCCAAGGACAATCCACAAACCAATTTGAAGTTCATATGTAAAGTATATCTCAAGTGATCACGGTGACAAAATAACTTTTGTTTTTGCCACTGTGACCTTGACCCTTGACCTTTTGGCCCGAAATGCAAAAGGCTTCTTAGGATTACCAAGAACAATCCACAAACCAAATTTGAAGTTCATATGTTAAGTATTTCTCAAGTTATCGCGCTGACAAGATTTGTCCGGACACACACACACACACCCAGACTTACGTTACATACCTTGTGTGGACATTGCTTTGTTTTCGTGTAGTTAAGAAAACTCGGTACAAAAAATAACTTTACTTAAACTGTGAAAACTCTTTTAACCCAATTTTTTTTCTATGATTCCCTATAGTGTTTCTCTTCATTCTGCTACTGATAAACCTAACCCAAAAATGCCTCTAAACCTGTTTTCCAGAAAGGGCAAAACCTTATGTGGACACGGCTTAGTCCACATAAGGTTAACACAACCTGCATTATGTGGACCTCTTTTGTTCACAAGTCCACATAGGGTATGTAACACAAACTCACACCCCCCCACACACCCACCCACCCACACACACACCCACGGAAACCCCCCCCCCCCCCCCACCCACCCACGGAAGGACAAGGCGGAAACAGTATGCCCCTTTGGCTTCGCCGCGGGGCATAAAAACGAGTCAGTACTAAGGGCATTAATAAATTAATTATCTAATTAGGATATCTGACCAACGCATGATGAATTAGAAAAAAGACATTTTATTTCTTTGGAGCTTTTAGTGTAATCCTAAAAAAAAATATATGTTAAATTGTTATGTATGGGACATCGCTCATTAAGAATATGCCTAATTTGCATTATTAATGAGGTGAACAAGTTTTCTTGTGTATTAAAAGGGCACATGATTGACTGTTCATGTCCTTTGAGGTGTGATTTCACACGTAAATTGACATTGAAATTTGAGCTGAATAGAAAATTCTGCAATTTGAGGGGACCTTCTCTTGGAATTGCCAAGATCCAGTGTGAAAGGCAATGTTGTAGACAGTATATGTTTTGTACTACATGCACCCACAGATGTACCTGTAAAGTCCCACAAACTGGAGCCTTCTCATCATCTTGTAGACTTCGGTGTGCGGTGGGTAGTACTCTGTAACCTCTGGTTTGTGTTCTCGTGGTTTCTCTCTCATTAGTTGTACAACTTTCATTGACTGAGAGGTGGTTGGTCTGAAAACATCCCCAAAAATACGGGCACTCAGGCGTGCCATGCGTCGTGCATAGAGAGATGACATGCCGAGGTCCTGTAAGGCTGTACATATTGACAATGACATTTACATTATTTTAATAAATATCATTGCATTACCAAAAATTCATATTCATATTTACATAAAAGATCTAACGCTGTCTGATGTCTGTCTGTCTGACATCTGTGTGTTTCGTTTTTGTTATAACCCTAACCCTGCCAGACGCAACACAGTGCACCAGGTGGAAAAGAACTGGTGCACTTTGATGCATTCAGCTGCCAACACCAGTGCATGAATGGCCAGCTCTGAAACGATGAGAGCTAAGTCCCACTGAACAATGCCACAGTTGTATCTTGCTGCGTGCAGTGACCACGGACTCTGAGGCAGTGTGGCCTTGAGACTTTTCCCCTGATGGATCTTGCTACACTGGGCAGGCTTGTCACTTAGTCAAGTGTTGCATGTTGCTGTGCTTGGCAGGGTTCTAGCAAACATACCCTGGAGGGTTAGGGATAAAGACCTAAAGAAGTGTGGGAAGACACAAAATGCGAGGAAATGCAAGGGTTTATCGAGAGGCTTCACGGTTAGGAGATACAGAAAATGATGATTTCTTCTTTGTTTTTCTCTTTTTTTGCCACATTTGTGTCTTTCAGGCTTTCAATAGTGAAATGGTAGAAAATTATCTCTATGAAAACACACTCCACAAAGCATTGGTTTAGCTAAACATACTGTAACGTTGACAATAACACATTTTTCAAAATTGCTTCACCAAGGATTACCATGCCCACTTGGGTTAACATACAAATTGAGGTCAAAAACATCCAGCAATTGAAGGCGCACTGATCATTCCTCTCGGATTCACAGCAAAGAACGTTGTATGGTGCTAAATCCCTCAAGTTTACTCTAACTCCACCCAGCTAGCAGGTGCCGCGCGAAGCACGGCATCCCACTAGCATGGCTAGTGTAAAAATAATAATAGCTTCTGCATATAGTGTATTATTCAACTTTATAATATGTAACCCATTAATAGATTGTAGTCATTTGATTGGTGGAATTTTGTCACATGACATTCAATCATTTGCCCCATTTCTTTGACCAATATTCTGTTGTATGATATACGTCATACATCATGCAATTTGATTCCATTTACCATGCATTTTGGTTCCATTCATTCCGCTCTTTGCATCAATATTGCTCACGGAGCAAACAGTTTGCTATTGTTATTTTTCTTTATTAATTGGTTTATTATTATGTCTTTTTTTTTGCTGCCAGCAGAGGAATTGTAAAGAACATAAACAATGTGTTAACATTAATAACATAAACTTTACTTTACAAGGGCAGCAAGAGACTAAAATCGTATAAAAACAAGTCAGGTGTGTTTACAAACACAAATGCCCCGCAACCGTGACTGTTTCCATGACATAACACCACTCTAACATCAACTTACATGTACCTTGGTCAAATGGAACGTTCATTGACAGCATTAGTGTCTTCTGTAGGTTTTATATGAATTAATCCCTAATCCCTATGATCTCAGAATAAATACAAGATTTCTATTGTTTTAGCCACTGTGACCTTGACCCTTGACCTTTCGACCCCCAATGCGATAGGCTCCTTAGGATTGCCAAGGACAATCCACAAACCAAATTTGAAGTTCATATGTACAGTATATCTCAAGTTATCGCGCTGACAAAATTTCTTTTGTTTTTGCCACTGTGACCTTGACCCTTGACCTTTTGGCCCCAAATGCAAAAGGCTTCTTAGGATTGCCAAGGACAATCCACAAACCAAATTTGAAGTTCATATGTAAAGTATATCTCAAGTTATCGCGTTGACAAAATTTCTATTGTTTCAGCCACTGTGACCTTGACCCTTGACCTTTCGGCCCCAAATGCAATAGGCTTCTTAGGATTACCAAGAACAATACACAAACCAAATTTGAAGTTCATATGTAAAGTATTTCTCAAGTTATCGCGCTGACATTTCTTTTGTTTTAGTCACTGTGATCTTGACCCTTGACCTTTTGGCCCCAAATGCAAAAGGCTTCTTAGAATTGCCAAGGACAATCGACAAACCAAATTTGAAGTTCATATGTTAAGTATTTCTCAAGTTATCGTGCTGACAAAATTTCTATTGTTTCAGCCACTGTGACCTTGACCCTTGACCTTTCGGCCCCATATGCAAAAGGCTTCTTAAGATTACCAAGGACAATCCACAAACCAAATTTGAAGTTCATATGTTAAGAATTTCTCAAGTTATCGCGCTGACAAGATTTGTCCGGACACACACACCCACCCACACATTCGTTTTTTTGCTATGCTTTCGAGGATTGGCTTTGTGTTTTCCTTTGTCCCTGTAATATAACACTCTCCCATAGACTAAGCACACAAACCTGCGTTCGAGGACAATAGGCACCTTCCTTCGAGGATCAATGGCCCCTTTGTGCTCCTTTTGTTGTCTGTCCTCAGGCGTAATGCCATGCAGGAACACCCACACACACACCCACCCACCCACCCACCCAGACTTGTTTCACATACCTAGTGTGGACTTTCCTTTCTTTTCGTGTAGTTAAGGAACACCAGTGGAAAAACTCATTTTTCTCAAACTGTGAAAACTCTTACAACCCAATTTTTTTTCAATGATTCCCTTTAGTGTTTCTCTTCATTCTGCTACAGATAAACCTAACCCAAAAATGCCTCTAAACCTGTTTTCCAGAAATGGGGAAACACTGTGTGGACGTGGGCAAGTCCACACTTCGTCGCTGCTACCTACATTATGTGGACGTCTTTTGTTCGGAAGTCCACACTGCGTATGTAAGACAAGCTCACAAACCCACACACACACCCATACTTGTTTCACATGACTAGTGTGGACTTTCCATTGCTTTCGTGTAGTTAAGAAAAACCAGTGAAAAAAATCATTTTTCTCAAACTGTGAAAACTCTTTCAACCCAATTTTTTTTCTATGATTCCCTTTAGTGTTTCTCTTCATTCTGCTACAGATAAACCTAACCCAAAAATGCCTCTAAACCTGTTTTCCAGAAATGGGGAAACACTGTGTGGACGTGGGGCAAGTCCACACAACGTCGGTGCTACCTACATTATGTGGACGTCTTTTGTTCGGAAGTCCACACTGCGTATGTAAGACAAGCTCACCCACACACCCACCCACGGAAGGACAAGGCGGAAACAGTATGCCCCTTCGGCTTCGCCGCGGGGCATGAAAACAAGTCAGGTGTGTTTACAAACACAAATGCCCCGCAACTGTGACTGTTCCCATGACATAACACCACTCTTTTAACATCAACTTACATGTACCTCAGTCACATGGAACGTTCATTGACAGCATTAGTGTTTTCTGTAAGTTTTATATGAATTAATCCTTATTATCTTAGAATAAATACAAGATTTCTATTGTTTTAGCCATTGTGACCTTGACCCTTGACCTTTCGACCCCCAATGCAATAGGCTTCTTGGGATTGCCAAGGACAATCCACAAACCAAATTTGAAGTTCATATGTAAAGTATTTCTCAAGTTATCGCGCTGACAAAATTTCTTTTGTTTTAGCCACTGTGACCTTGACCCTCGACCTTTCAGCCCCAAATGCAAAAGGCTTCTTAGGATTTCCAAGGACAATCCACAAACCAAATTTGAAGTTCATATGTAAAGTATTTCTCAAGTTATCGCGCTGACAAGAAGATTTATCCGGACACACACACCCACCCATACTTGTTTCACATGACTAGTGTGGACTTTCCATTGCTTTCGTGTAGTTAAGAAAAACCAGTGAAAAAACTAATTTTTCTCAAACTGTGAAAACTCTTTCAACCCAATTTTTTTTCTATGATTCCCTTTAGTGTTTCTCTTCATTCTGCTACAGATAAACCTAACCCAAAAATGCCTCTAAACCTGTTTTCCAGAAATGGGGAAACACTGTGTGGACGTGGGCAAGTCCACACAACGTCGGTGCTACCTACATTATGTGGACGTCTTTTGTTCGGAAGTCCACACTGCGTATGTAAGACAAGCTCACACCCACCCACCCACATACACAAATTCTTGTTCCGTAATTGTGGGGACTTACACTCGTTGCCACGAGGTATTTGTGGGGACCGAAAATGCTATGGGGACAGCAGAAAGTCCCCATAACTCAGTCCTAATTTGCCTAACAATAAAAAACTTCCCCATAACGTGGTGTATACCTACCCACGCACCTGTGTTTTACTATACATCAAGATTTTTTTACATTCATCAAGAGTAAAGACTATTTAACAGGTCCATGTAAAGATAATTTATACTGTTCACAAAAGATATGAATTCATTACAACAGTACGACCAATACAAACCAAAATTTGAAGAGGAAAAAAAAGAGTTCTAGCGCCCAGTTACTGTTTCTAGCATCGGATCAGTTTACCTTCGCCAACTAAAATATCGTGTGAATGTAAATTACCAGGAACAACAAACGTCAATGATAACAGCCAATCACAGAACATTTCCAGCAAAATGACATTTTGCATCTGTTTGCCATCGGCGGCTAATGGCCACTGCCCGAATGATATTGTTCAAAATTACCAAAAAATAATACTTTTTGAATTATTACGCTTTAATACCCGAATTAAGAGACGTCTGAACTTCTGGTTGCTGCAGTCATTTTGGAATGATACAAAACAACCTTCACTCTAACTTGGCAAAAACTTATTAAAAGAGGGGTCATAAGTTCACTATCGTCAATGCCTGGGAATACCGAACTGCAACTACATGTAATAGGCACTGCACACGAACCACCATGCATCGACCTGTGCATCAGTCACAACAATGCACAAAACTGTTTCTATGTTGTCGCACGGTAGGGTTTAGCTGATCAAAAGTGTCACCAAGTTTGGTGGCAATTGAAGTCAGACTTTTCATATTACAGCACTAAACAGTTAACATAACCAAAATCAACAATGACCTCATTTGACCCCTAGACAACCTTTAACCTCTAATGTCTCAAGTCATCTGAAGTTCCCCTACCCAAATATAATTGTCACCAAGTTTGGTTGAGATTGAAGTCTGCTTTTTCATATTA